AAGAAACCAACAGTGAAGTAGAACTGAGTCATAAGCTCAGTTGGAGTTTCGCACTTGCTTATAACCGTCGGATACACTGGATAAGGTTTAGCAATCGTTCCATCTAATGTCAAGGCCATCTCTCTCAAAAAATATTAGTTTTGTAGTCACAAACTGCGACCGACCGTGTAAACCTGCACAGTTAACAGAACGAATAAGTGCCAATTTTTTACTATACTTTAAACGACAATATTTTTTTGAACACTTATTTTTAGTGCATATTCCTCTAAAATGACAGATTTATAGCAAAAAAGTAGGTAAAATTTGAAGAGAAAATTTTAAAAATATATTAAGATGAATAAGCTACAGTTATTTACAATAAGAATGAGAATAATTAGATAAATTTGAAAAAAAAAAAAATGAATGGTCCAAATTAGCGTTTATGCTAAGCAATGCGAATATCTGGTTATTTGTTAGCCAAACAGACTGTTTCTAATCGTTGTTTCAGAAACTTATTAAACCCCTACGGCTCTAAGAACAATTATCGCTGCTACAATATTGCCGATAAATCTGATTATTTGCTATTTTTTGTGGCAAAAAAATCAAAAAAAAAAAAGAAAAGATTGGTGTAGCTGTTAATAAACATCATTTTATAGTTACTTATTATATTTAACATTTTAGAGAGTTCAAAATTTCAGAAAATGCCTACAGCACCAGCAGGTTAGGCACGATAGCACTAACTTTAACTGATGTACCTATAAAAAAAAAATATTTTCGATCGAATTAAACCTGTTTAGTCTAATCGAAAAAACAGTAATCTTTTATAGTAAGTTAAAAAAATGTGTAACAGTTTTAACTGACCGTTTATCAGCTGATTTATTTCTGCTAAACTCAAAAGTAAATTTCTGCTTTCTTACAAGATTATACCAATTCAACTAGTTTTTAACTTCTTCTATTTTAACAGTTTTTTCTTTTTAGAACAAACTTCAAGAAAATCAGAGAAATAATATTTGTTTTTCAAATTGTTAAAGAAAAAGGTAAAGGGGTATATCAAGAATAAGGCACTAACCTGCATAAATTATATATACGTTCTGCAATGCAAAACAGACGTCCATCATTTCATTCTTTTCTTTTTTCCTTGACAATCTATTACCATCTTGTACTAGAATGTACAAATACTGACGAACGCAGTGATAGGTTTATTAAAAATTAAATATATCAAGAAACTTTAGACAAATTTGAAATATAGAATGGCTAGTGAACAGTCAAGACATTAGAGATTAAGTTGGAAGAACTTTAAGCAACGATTATTGCATTTTTCAATGTTATGATACTGCATAGCATT